CTTTGGAAAAACCTTTCTCAATTAAAAAGTTTGACAATCTTTCATACCAAGCTCTAGGAGCTTGTTTTAAACCATAAAGAGCTTTTGTCAACTTAAGAACATGATTTGGAAATTTTAAATCTTCAAAACCAGGAGGTTGTTCCACATACACTTATTTCTTTATAAAACCATTTAAAAATGCACTTTTAACATCCATTTGATATAATTTAAATTCATGAAAACATGCAAATGCTAATAACATTCTAATTGCTTCCATCCTAGCTACGGGAGCGTATGTTTCATCATAGTCTATCCCTTCTTCTTGAGTATAGCCTTGAGCAACAAGTCTAGCCTTATTTCTCACTATATTACCACTCTCATCAAGTTTATTCCTAAATACTCATCTAGTACATATAATAGATTTATTACTAGGCCTTTCAACTAATGTACATACTTTACTTCTCTCAAACTGATTTAACTCTTCTTGCATAGCCATAATCCAATGTTCATCTTTTAATGCTTCTTTAATATTCTTAGGCTCTATGCATGAGATAAATGCAACATAATTACAAATATTTTTAAGAGAAGATCGAGTTGTTACCCCTTTTGATGGATCACCTATAATCTCACCATCCTTGACATAGTTGTACTCTCTTGGGTAAGATACTTCCCTTTCTTCAATAGTTGGATTCTCGAGAGGATCTTGAGTTTCCTCATCTTTTGTTTCTTCCTTTGATGATGGTTCTCCAACGTCATGTTCAACGTCATTTATATTTATAATACCTACATCATCATTCAAACAAGAATTCTTCCTCGTAAGGGGATTATCATCGAAAACAACATGTATAGACTCTTCTACAACTAAATTTATTTTATTAAATACTCGATAAGCTTTAGAATTTAAGGAATAACCCAGAAAAATTTCTTCATCACTTTTAGCATCAAATTTGCCAAGATTGTCTTTACTGTTGTTTAAAACAAAACATTTACATCTAAAAGGATGAAAATAGCTAATGTTAGGCTTTTTATTTTTGAAATTTCATATGGAGTTTTCTTTAAGATTGGCCTAATCATTACTCGGTTTACAACATAACAAGCGGTATTTGTGGCTTCCGCCCAAAAATATTTTGGCAAATTGTTTTCACAAAGCATGGTTCTAGCCATTTCTTCTAAAGTTCGATTTTTCCTCTCAACAACTCCATTTTGTTGAGGGGTTCTAGGTGCTGAAAATTATGGCTAATACCATTAGAATTACAAAAATCAGTAAATCCAAGATTTTCAAATTCAGTTCCATGATCACTCCTAACAATAGTTATAGAGTAACCTTTTTCGTCTTGGATTACTTTTGAAAACGTGATGAATTTTTCTAATGCTTCATCTTTAGTACTTAAGAATAGAACCCAAGTATATCTAGAATAGTCATCTACCAAGACAAATGCATATTGTTTTCCACCCAAGCTAGTAGTCCTAGTTGGCCCAAAAAGATCTATATGGATCAATTGTAATACTCTACTAGTTGATACATCATTAATGGATTTAAAAGAAATTCATTTTTTTCCTTTAGCACAAGCATCACAGATTTTATCATTATCAAATTTAAGCTTAGGAAACCCTCTAACTAAATTTCCTTGAATTAGCCATTGCAAAACACTCATACTAACATGTCTTAGTCTCCTATGCCATAACCAACTATCATGCTCATCCTTAGCAACTAGGCATAAATTAGTCATATCAATAGAGTCTAAATGCACCATGTATATGTTTCCTATTCTATGACCAACAAGCATAATCCGATTAGATGCAATGTCAATAACTTTACAACCATTAGTTTCAAACATGACATTGAATCCTTTATCACATAATTGACTAATACTTAAGAGGTATTACCTATGGTACCTATACATTCGATGTATCCTTTTGAATTATCACCAAAAGTCACTTCTCCTCCATTTTTGGCGGTAAGCTCTATGAACCGGCTTTTGTCTCCGGTCATGTGTCTTGAGCATCCAACCATGAGTTTGAATTTGTTTCCCGTGCCTTGTAGCAATGCTCATTTTCCTACAAACATAGATTAATTTCTAATTTTTGGTACCCAAATTCTTTTGGGTCCATATTCATTAGTTTCCAAAATCCTAGTCCCCTTAGGTATCCATTTGTGTAGGATATCTTTATCTTTAGTAGTAATGAGTCTTTTAGGAACCCATATACTTCTAACAATTTTTCCATTAGAGGTTCTTCGGGGACCTCTATGATTGTAGTTTTTAAGACTTTTTCTAACAAAATTGGATTTTAAATTTTCTCCATTTTCAAAACGTTTTGTTCCAACTTTATCAAAAGAAGCTTTAAGATCATCAATTTTATTTTGATGATCATCATTGGCCTTTGAAAGTAAATTTTGTAAATCTGAATTTTTCTTTTCAAACTCTTCTAGTTTGATTTGCAAATCTTTGATTTTACTTTAAAAATCATTGTTGGTCTTAGATATGAGCTTATTTTCATTTTTCAATTTTGAGACATCATTTTTATATTTTAAAAACAATTTCTCAGAATCCAAAGCCAAACCATTATATTCCTCTAATAACTCATCATAAGATAAATCATCTAATTCAAATGAGTTAGAGGTTACCTTAGAATCTTCCCTGAATTCCATCAAGCACAAGTTTGCTACTTCTTGTTCCTCCTCATCGGAACCCTCTTCATCGCTCCATGTAGCCACATGAGCCTTGTGCTTATTCTTTGATTGACCATTTCTTTTCAATTGTGGGTAATCATATTTGACATGCCCCGACTTTTTGCATTCATAGCAAATGATAGTCCTTCTCTTTTGGTTCATTTTTGAGACCTTCATTTCGTTTGAATTTTCTTCCTCAATAAGGTCTCATCATTTTTCTGAACCGTTTGGCAAACAATGACATTTCCTCATCATCATTATCTTCATCTGAATCACTCTCATCTTTTGTGGATTTGAGAGCAACTCCAATGTTTTTCTTCTTCTCCTTCTCTTTTGGTGTCTCATCAATCTTATCGAGGTCCACCTCATCTTCAAGCATCATTTCATGAGTGAGGAGGGAACCAATTAGCTCTTCAAGAGTTAAGGATTTTAGGTTCTTAGCCTCGATGATTGTCGTCTTCTTGGATTGCCACGATTTTGGAAGTGAGTAAACTAACTTCCTCACACGCTTTTCGTTTGGAATGATCTCTCTATATGATTTGAGACTATTGACAATCGTTGAGAATCTATCCGTCATAGCTTTGATATCTTCATTTGGTTTTATCCTGAAATTTTCATAGCTATGTGTTAGAAGACTAATTTTAGATTCTTTTACCTCGTCGGTGCCTTCATGAGTGACTTGTAGTTTATCCCATATTTCTTTGGCGGTTGTACAAGAAGAAACTCTTCCATATTCATCTGGTCCAAGAGCACAAAATATGATATGGATTGCTTTGGAGTTGAGCTGGAACATTCTTATCTCTCCTTCACTCCACAATCTTGGATGAGTGAGAGGCTTGATATATCCATCTTCTACAACATTTCATGCTCTCATGTCACTTGCTTGAATGAAATACATCATCCTATTCTTCCAATAGGCATAGTTAGCTTCATTGAAGAAAAGAGGTTTGTTGACGGGCATCAAATAGAGACCAGAGTCGACATTTGAAGTAGAGGCCATTGATGACTTGATAATCGATGTAACTCTTCCCGAATCGACTCAAGAGGAGATTAAAACTTCAAATGAGTGAGGCTCTGATACCAATTGTTGAGTTAATCGATTGACGGAATCAGCCAAGAGGGGGTGAATTGGCAATTAAAATTTTGGTGGAAGCTTTTGCAGAAAATTAAAAGTAATTGCACAGAGATTTAGAGTAGTTCAACTTTCTCAATCAAAGTCTACGTCCACTACCTTAGCTATCCACACTAAAGATTTTCCAACAAATTCACTAATTTGTTCTTTCTTTTGAGGCCAAAGAGATAACCTTACAACTCCCTCAAGAATATACCTCAATTCTTGAGAACACTCTTTCTCAAAGAGAAGATTACAAATTTGCAAACTTACAAGGAAATCCTCACAAGGTAGATTGTTTGCACAAAAAGAACACTAAAAATGAATACAATTGAGTACAAGTAGTGTTATTGAAAGCAAAATGAATATTGAATGAAAAATAGGCTTGAAATGCTCAAACTTGAGGTTTGATGCTTTCTCTTTGATTCTCTCTTGATTCTTGTTTATTGTTGTTTCTTGTTTTTGTCAATGGCTTCTAAGCTTGTTTAAATACACCTTCAAATGATTCTGAATGTTGGGTATGCTTAGTGGAGTCAATAGAACCGTTTAAGTGTGAAAACAATTAATTAAAGCAGTTGGGAGCGTCAATGCATCGATGCATACCCATGGTGCATCGGTGCACCAGTGTAAAATTCAAATATTTTGACCGTTGGACCCGTAGTGCATCGGTGCACTAAGAGTGCATCACAAACAACAGTGAAATTTAACATTTATGGTTATGTTTTGAGGGTTTAGGGTTGCTGCTTCAAGTTTAGTTTGTTATGAAGATTTTGAGAATGTATTATGAATTTGGGGTTGGGCATGTAATTAAAGTATTTTGGAATTTGAGGGTTAAAATATAATTGAAACATTTTAGAATTTAGGGTTTAAAATGTAATTGATGATTGTGTTGCAATTTTTAAAAGTTGGGGGACCTAAATGCAAGCGTCTGAAAAGATTAATCACCATTTATATAATTTACACTAACAGCAGTGAAACAACCGTTATGTCGAGGATCATATTGCAAACGAACTAAATATTTAATGGTTGTATTGCAAGTTTTAAAAGATAGAAGATCTAAATGCAAGTCTCTAAAAAGTTTAGTGACCATTTATATACTTTACCCTATATTTAATTGGCACCCACGAATAGGGTGGCAATTCAAGTATTCTACATATTTTCCAGTTAGGCCCAAAGGCCAAAGCTGCCAGTCAGTTGAAACTTGAAACGCTTGTGAAATCTCTTTCTTCTGATCTATATATCATCTTCTCTGCAGATTCATCACAAACAGATACTTCTCTTCTTTGAAACCAAAAGTCATCAATTTTCTTATTCTCCACTCAAAACCCATCCTATAACCCTTCAAAAAAAATCAAATCTTTTCTCTGCATCTCTTTCTTCTGTCATAGAAAATGGGGGTTCCAGTAATCAAGTTTCCCATATTTATGGTTATTAGAGTATTGGGAATTGTAATAGGAGCTCTTGTTTTCACATGGACTTTTCATTGCAGAGGAGGATTGGCTCTCATCTCCGATAACAAAGATCTCATCTTTAATGTAATCTCTTCCTTCTTTCACCTTTTTTTGGGTAAATTATAGAAGCAACGATTTTTCTTATAATTTTATTTCCCAGTTACTTAGTTTGGATATCTTTTTTAGTGGGAATTTGCTATAATTTGCATTGTATGATAATTTATAGAAATTAATGGTGTTGTTTTTTGGATATAAAAGGTGGGGAATGTTTTTCAGCAAGTAAATATGAACGTTATAATTTCGGTGCAGAAGATAATATACATATCTTTACTTTTATGCTGAATAGATTTTATCACAGAATTGATATTTTGTGTTAGTCCTTTCAATTTTTTTAATCAATTGCGTTTATGTTTTGCTTTATAGAAACAAGGTAAGCTAAGTAATGAACAACACCACAAGGGACGCTTATATTAGTCTCTTTGGTAGTTCATCCTATGAAGAGGAGTGTTTTTCCTTCCCATTACAAAAAAATACTAATTTTGTTTTGTATTTATTGCAGGTTCATCCTGTTCTTATGGTCCTTGGACTAGTGCTCCTGAATGGAGAAGGTGAGTGTCAGTTGTCATTGTTTTACTGAGATGCTCCAACTTTTAGTTATATGTATCCGATTCTCCTTTAAAGTTCTATACGAGTCCTTGTGAGATAATTATTTTCAATTTATCAGATTAAATTACATCAGCTATACATTGATGCATGTCTAGAAGTTTGGCATTTTGAAGTGTTCTTACCCTTTGTTGTCACTGGTAGTTTCATTGAGGTTTTCTCAGGACTTGAAAAGTGAGATGTTATTGCTAGTCTGGAAGATCTGCTTAAACTATTTTAAGAGTTTGTGAGCGATTAATGTGGTACAATGATGTTAGCTGATGTTTGTCAAACCTACTATATAATTATGATGCATACATAAGCACGGGTCTTTTTTTCTTTAATATTCCCGGATACTATAGGCGTCAATTTTATGGTTTTGCAAGAAGAATAAACTTTGCTTCTCCTTCTAAGTAGGGAAGTGAAATCAAGTTTCATTATGTTTGCCCATTGCGATTGTAGGCTTCCATTTTCATCGTCCCTTATTGCTTCAATATCTTGTCCTTAAGTTTAATTCATAACTCAATTTCTTAAAGGAAGGGTCATCTAAGCAGTCATCTTTAGAAGGAATGATGAAGTACTTTGTTATGTGATAATCTAGCTTCGAGTTGTTGCATCTATTTTTCCTTGATTTGTAAGGAGAGCACAAGGAACATTTCTGCTGACTTTTGGAATTCAAACAATAATAATATGGAGTTGTACTTCCATGATATATACTACAATTCTAGATAACTTGAATCTCAACTGTTGGTATATTTTACTATAATCCTATACAGTGAATTATAGGTGATATAAAACCTGTAAGATAACAAAACCTCAACATGTTATCGAGCCTCTATGGAGCTTTCTTCTTTTTTGAATTTGAGTCTTCTATGGTAGTTAAAACTTTGTCTTAGTTGTATTCTATGGTAGATAATAACTTTCTGTTCTCTTTATTGACAATTTCAGTCACACATACAACCAAATAGGCTGAATACTAGCTGCATGGTTAAATACTATTGAGGTTCGTTTACCCTTTTTCCACGGGTGCGGTCGGCAGATTTTACATAAATTATCTGCTCATAACTTTATCTTCTTTGATCTTCCATAAGCATGGTTATCCTTATGCTATGTCTTGTAGCCTAGGCCATGAGACAATGAGTCTTATAGGAAATTTAATTACAGAATTGTGAATGCAGAATTTTATGGAATTTTGATTGAGGTTACTTTCATGATTCTTTACAATCCTGCTTCTGTCACTTGTTCGGTATGATTAATGCAGCCATGCTGGCATACAAGACTGTTCCGGGGACGAAAAGCTTCAAAAAATTAGCTCATCTTACCATACAATGCATTGCTTTTATCTTGAGTCTTATCGGTGTATGGGCTGCTTTGAAGTTCCACAATGATAAGGGCATCGACAACTTCTACAGTCTGCACTCGTGGTTAGGCCTAGCTTGCCTTTTCTTATTTGGCATCCAGGTCTGTCTTTACACCCTTTACCAGTGCATTTTTGCTCCACTTTTATCGAAGTCGTGCAGGTGCTCAATGATGTTCTTGTTTTGCTTTAAATTTGTTATGAACAGTGGGCAGCTGGATTCGTGACCTTTTGGTACCCAGGCGGGTCAAGAAACAGCAGGGCTGCCTTGTTGCCATGGCATGTTTTCTTCGGTATGTATGCATATGCCATTGCCATTGTGACTGCTACAACGGGTATCTTAGAAAAGCTTACATTTCTTCAGACTAACCAGGTAATATCACGTTACTCCACCGAGGCTTTGCTTGTAAACTCTTTGGGTATTTTGATTGTCGCGGTGGGCGGTTTCGTTATTGTCGCTACACTCACTCCGCTGAACGAAGAAAGCGATGGGCACAGCTACAAGGGATTAATAGTGGAATAGAGTTTTCCCTGTAAAACCCAATGAGTGATGATGATGTTCTTTACCTATGAAACAACTAGAGAATGAATTAGTTGATAAGAGCAGTGCTTCAGAAATTAATACATGTTTTTTTGCTGGGGGACATGGAAGTTAAAATTATCTTCTAAATATACTGTTTACACCATATTTTCCTCTTTTCCTTCTTGAGACGGATCTTAAAATTATATATGAAATTTGGATTCAACGTTCGATATGATATGAACTAATTTATTTATTTTTATTTGTATTTATATACATAAAGCTTTGACTAAACTACATTTTTAAATCATCCACTTATTCTTACAATTTTGTTTTGCTCACCAAACTTTTTTCTTTCTGAAATTATATTTAATATTACATTTTGACCATCAATCATTAAAACATAAACAAAAATAAATAAAACTGTCAAATATATTATTTTTTATTTTTCAAATAATGATTGTGATATTATCTTATGATAACATATCAACATTATCATTAATTTTTTAACTACAAATAATCAAAATGAAACAAAAATGTAACATCAAATACGGTTAAAAAATAATTAAATGATCAAAATAAAAACAAAATCACATGTATAGATGGCTAAATATATAATTTATTTAAATAATCATAAGGTAATTTATCCAAAATTATTAAAATAATTTGATAATATTTTATATTTCTAATATTTTTTAAAATAAAAGTCTAGTTTATAAATTCGAACCAAACACAATAAAAAGCAGTTTACAAGGGGCAGAACGGTTACGTTCATTAAAAAAAAAAAAGACAAGCAGAAGTTCAGCATGTGATTACATTTAAGTTCACATAAAAATAGGGCAGACGGGTCCCTTGGAGAGACCGAGACGGACTTCCATGCTATGGTGCAAGTCCAGTGGCCGTACAGTCTCCGATTCTCGAGGATCTGCAACCAACAAACCACTCATTTTGAATATCCACTAACCCACATAATATAAATATCACCATGAGACAAGGAAAAGAGAGCTTATTTTGTATTATCTATGTATTGTCATACCATTCAGATAATCCTCGAAGCCAAATTCATCTAAAGTTCCTGTCATTGCTTCCAGCCCTAGCATTGAAGATGGGAGCAATGGCCTCTGGAACCTGCATAATTTTTCAATGATTATACATCAAAGATATTCTCGACAATTCTGAAACTTACTGAAATTTCAATCCTAGCTTCAATGGTCCTTGGCATTATCTTAGTTCACTCTAGGCATAACTAGGCTTCTCTAATCTATGTTCCCACACATAAAATAAACACTAACACAACATGAAATGCAATTGTGTCAAATCTATATAACATGGATCAATAATGAGTCATAATCAAATTTTTTATATATATACAACCCCTTAATCAAGATTATAACATAGAAAAATGAACAGAGTAGTTATCATTTCTTCCTATTTCAAATAAATGCAGAGATTTTATTAGAAAAGATACAGAGATCTTTTTGAATAAAAAACCATAATCCATTTCTTAATTGGATTTGACAAGAAGATTTATGCTTCTTTCACCTAATCCTTCTTTGCTTGGATTCATTTTATATTATTGTCAAAAGTCTCTTCATTGTACCCAAAAAAGTAACAAACGCCTACATTTTGAAGGTGCTTAAGAGTTTGCACGAATCTTTGAAATACAGAGGATTCAAGGGGTGCAAGTCCCTTGAGTGACGAAAAATTGGGAAGAAAACTTGGATACATGGTACAACCTAAACCTATAAAATATAGGGATTCTAAAAGTTCTTTGTTAAAAAGAAAAATCAAGATTGTGTATCAAGCACTGTGACAAGGAAAACCACGAAACAATGATGCGGGTGTCTAAAGAAAGGGTAGAAACTCCCTCTCTCTCTGTATTTGTGTGTGTTAGCTCTCACTGCCCCTCTCTTTTACTTAATTGCCATCTACTTGCATGAATTGTTTATATTTTTCATCATGCGCTAATTTCTATGTACTTTTTACTAGGCTGCAATTTCACTTCATAGTTTTTTCAAGAACAATTCAAGCCCTCTTGGTTTCCTTCACCACTTTGAGCTAAAAACAATTATTCAAGATCTCTATTCTAATTCTCTTCGAGCTTTAATATCCATGTTTATGCCATTAAAGAAACCGCAGAGTGAACGTGCTCATAAAATTATTTTATCAGGGAAGACAAAATTCTAATTATGAAGAAAAGTCTAAATCAGTCCGTTAAGCGTCAACAGCTCAAAATTGGGATTAGAAGAGCAATACTTGTTTAAAAATATCGAAAATGGAGGTCATACCGCGAGAGAATTTGCCTATCGAGATCCATCTTAAGTGGAAATGCTGTTCCATAAGTATTGACCAGGACTTTCCTCTTCATCCCCTCCTGCGTTATATTCGCCTAAAAAAGAGAAAAAAAGCGTTCACATAAATAAATAGCATTCCAATCCTAATAGTACCCTCTAAACCTAATTAAAAATCTTAAAACAAAACCCCTAAAAATAACTACGTCTAATTTCATATGAACTATCCAGCTTCTCTTTTTTTTTTCTTTTTCAATAACAAAAACACTAAAACCACTTCTTAAAAAAAACATGTAAAATAACCAAGTTCACGGGCGCTCTCGAGATCTGAGAAGTGAACGCAAAAATAATTTTCGAACACACAAACAAAAGAACAAGATTGAGTCTAATTTCAGTTTTATGTATTTTCTCGGGAAACAGACAGATGGAGGGGAAGAAGATTTACAGATTCGTAAGCAAATTGGAGAGGGTGAGATCCGACGAGGTCGCTCTTAACGCCGTGAAGACCGAACCGAAGAGCGTCGTTCTGGACTCCCCCGATTTCGTGCTGAATCGTCTTTGATGCCTCCATCTCTCTCTCTTTTTCGTTTGTTTTTCTGTCCTTTTTCTTTGAGAATTTTATAGATTGTTATCGTCTTTGTAAGCAAGAAAAGGCTAATAAAGGAAAAAGTCACTCTCCTTGCAAACGATGTCGTTTTCATTAATCCAAGTGCCCGCAATCCAGTTCAAACCCGTCTTTTTTTTGGGTTAAGAAGAAAGGCCAAGTGTGGTTTTGGGTTGAACTTCTTTAAAGCCTACTACTTTGAATTTGATAATATAATTATTTTGGTATTTTTAAATAATAATTTTTTAAAAAAATATTTTTTAAAATATATGATAATTATAATCTATTCTTAAAGTTATAAATATTTTTAAAATTATAAAATTTAATTTTTTACAAATCATAAAAATTTGTGATTTTTTAGTGGGCCTCCAAATACAAGTTTTAAAAAGGCTTGATGAAAAAAAAATAAGTGTTCGAACTATATTCTAAGTTAATTTTAGGTGTCTTAAGAATTTTTATTTTTTAAAATAGACATCTAACTTTTTCGATGTTATACTTTTAAGTGCTTATGTAGTAACGGTCATTAAAAAAACTTGTTAAGTGACACATGTTATGTTTATATTTTTTATTTTTTTAAAATTTAATAATATTATTAATTTAAAAAATATATTTTTTAAAAAAAATTTATAAAATTATGCAACCTTTAAATCTCTCATTTCAATCTCATTTTTTAGTTGTCGTTGGACATCACCTGTTGTCTTCATCATCGTCGAATAACCACTCATCTGTCGTTAGTCTTCCACTGCCGATCATCCTCTTGTCGTTGACTCAATCATCATAAATCTATAAATCCAAACTTAAATGCCTAAAGCTAATATAATAATACCCAAATCCCTATCCCTAATCTCAGATTTATATCATTCTCTCCATAAGTCAACTTTGGGGATTTATGGAAACGATGGAGGGAGGTTTTGAATGCAACTGGAGGGAGAGAATTTTCACATAGGCTAGAGGGAGGGAATTTTTTTTCTTAAAAAATGTTTTTTTAGATAATATTTTATTTTTTTATAAAAATAAAACTTTTTAAAAATATATATAAACACTACACATATTAAATAACGATTGAATTTATTACATCTCATATACCTAAAAGTATGACGTTAGAAACATTAAACACCTAAAATTAACATAAGATATAATTTGGACACTTATTTTTACATTGAGTGTTTTAAAAAACACAAATATACCCCCACCTGCTTGCTGTTTAGGTCATTTATCTGCTGCTGAAGAACATGCAGAAGAGTTGTGATTCCTAAACAGTACTAATGATAAGTAAAAAGTGTCCCGGTACATGCCACATGCTCCACTGAAATGCAGGATATGTCCCACTAACATGACAACATCCAACAATATCTAATGAACATAATTGTTAACTTCAAGTTTAGATCATACCCAATCACATATCTTGCTATGCAGAAACTCATCCACAATTGGATAAAGATGCCCTTCATACAAAATGGCAACATGAAAGTAAGTGAAACCCAAAAGTATTCACTATGTCACTTCTTCACCTAAATCATATTTGGCTCAAACATAAACAAGGTCAAAGTTGAGTGATGAAAAAGCATATTTGACTCAAATTTTCAAATCTTTCACCTAAATTGTGGGTACCTTTCTACTAGTAATGTGTAATTTTGGATAGGTACGTGAAAAGCTTATTTATTTATTTATTTATTTAGGGTACTTATAAGTGGTAGTATCTCATTTAATAATAAACACTCAAATATATTGCAGTGTCTGGCGATCGAACCGAAAATCTCTAAAAATAATAACAATTCCTTTAATCACTAATGTAATTTAGTTCATACGTGAAAAGCCATTTTCACCTTGCCTAGTTGGGGCCAATTTTGTAACTGTTCATGGGCTCAAGTAAAAATCTTATAATAGGGGGACTATTGACATTTTACCCTAATTTTTATGGAGATAAAACAATGAACCTACTCAACCTTGATTGTTTTGATTGATCTTTATTTCAGATTTTTATCATTTATGGGGACAACAACTAGTTAACCTACCCTACCTGGATTATTTTGATTGATCTTTATTTCAGATTTTTCTTTTTCCTCTGTTTCTTTTTCTTGATGGAAAAACAAATTTGTTGTAGCCACTTCCAAGTTAGGTGAACTTGGTGACTTTATGGGATGTATACTTTTATCTCAAGGTATTGTTTTAATTAGTAGTTGCACAATACAAGAAAGTTAATTTCATAAAAGTGGTGTAAGAATTTCGCTCTGTTCTTTCTTTTATACGATCACCTGTAATACCTTGATAAATATGTATGTCTTAGTAAGTATCAACTTGTGTCATTAATGGAATCCTCAAAAGGAAGCTTTAAGCTTAACTGTGATGGTTCATCCCTTGAAAATCCTGGGTTTGCAGGGCTGGTGCTATAATCTGAGAAAATAATAGGGATTGGGTTGGTGTATCTTATCGATTTTTAGGGGAAGCTGCCAATATGTTTGCTTAGGGATGGACCTGAAGTTTACGGGGCGGTTGTTGGGGTTGTAAATGAGATGAAACGAGTTCGGATATATTTTTTGAGTTGTTCGTAAGTTTTTCGAGTCGGATATCAAGTAGCTCGTTTCGACTCGTTATGAACTTGAGTTGAATCCATTCAAATCGAGTGTTGACTTAGCTTTGACCGAGTCAAAGTCCAGTAGCTTGTGATCTATCTCGCCTCATTTACAGGCCTAGCGGTCGCCTCTTAAAAATTTTAAATTATCCTATAATTTATGTATTTTCAATTGATGATTTGTTTTTACCAAATTCGTTCTCCTAAAATTTTATAAGTCCACTCCTTACATCCGTCCCATATTTACTGATGCTTAAGCCTCAAGAGATGACATTTTGCTCGCTAGACAATTTTTCATTCATCATCTTGACATTGAAGTTGATTTCGTTGCTGTGACTATTTAAATTGTTCTATCTCAAATAATGTGATCATTGAACCTATTCTACATGACTGTAGACTATTACTCATATTTACAAGACTAAAATATAACAAATTTATTCGTAAATATAAATGAACCCAATACATATTTATTTATGTTCGTTCGTTTATTACATGAACATAAAATTTTTGTTCATATTAATTGATTTAACATAATAAGTCAATATAAACGAACGCTATACAAATAATTAATCGATCACTTCTTTGTTATTGGTAGGATAATGAGAGGGTAAATGGTAGGTAGGCTTTAGTGGAAACATGCATATGTTGGGTTGTAGAGCTTACGAAGCATTAATTCATGCGTGGGAGTTGGGCATCGTATCTGTCGGATGCATGAATTTGGAGAATAGCGAGGCTGTTGGTTAGCTCTCAAATGACCTAATTAATCATTCTCACCTCACAACATTTACTTTATCAATTTACTGTCATATTTTTTTTAAATTCCAGATAGATATATAAATATTTAAGAAAAGAATACTATTTAATTATCAACTAATAGATGACAACGAAGTAAATAGGAAGCTGACTGATGTGTAGTCCACGCGCTTATTGGAGAGATTTGTAATCCAAAAGAAGTACAATTATGTTTAAATCACTATTTGGAACGCCAATAGAAGATGGTGGATTGCCTACTCAATCCTCGAACGACAGAAATTTATATTAGAAAATTTTAAATTTTTGGGAAAAGAAAAATTTATAAAATTTTAAACGGTAAAAATAGATATTTTTATAAAAGATATATAAAAAAAATCTAAATTTTAATTTTTTAAGATACAACTATTTTCACATGTCCTTGTCTCAGTCCATCCTTTAACATATATAAAAAAGAAGGAAAAAATATTACAATAAATTCATAAAATTTTTGGGAAAATAAGAATTTATAAAATTTTAAGAGGTGAAAATAGATTTTTTATAAAAAATATATATGAAAAAAACTAAAAACTAAAATAATTTTAATTTTTTAAGATACGGCTACTTCCACCCGTCCTCATCTCAGCCCATACTTTAACAATAAGTTCATAAACCTAAAAAGACTTTTATTTTATGATAAAATGTGGACAGCTAGCGCTTGTAATTGGTCAAAAAGGCCACGTGATCTGGAATCGCAGACAGAGAGAATTTTTAATAATACAGGCAAAGCACTGAGTTTCCATTATTCAAAAGCAAAAACAAAAAGGTGTTGTGATCATTGATCTTAGGTTTAAGCATCAACCAAGTTTGGTAAAACTTTATCAAAATTGTGGGGCAGAAAGGAAAGATCTGATGGCAAGCTATGGAGGGACAACCCAGAAGTGTAAGGCATGTGAGAAAACAGTTTACTGGGTTGATCAACTCACTGTTGACAGCAAAGTTTATCATAGAGCTTGTTTCAGGTGCCACCACTGCAAGGGTACCCTTAAGGTATTTCTTTCTTTTCTTCTTCTTCTTCTTCTTCACAATTTTAGATTTCTGGGATTTGTTTGCCCTTTGCATGTAGAACCAGATGGATTTTCTGTTATCAACTTAGATCCCCACTTCTTTCTGGAATCAAAAACACTTCCATTTTATATGTACATATAGAAAGAGAGAACTTCAAAAGTTGCCTGCAAACTGCAATGAAATGGTTTGACAAAATCTTATAATACGATTGTATAATTAAACTAAAGATAAACAAACACCAGAATTTATATCACTACAACAATAGTAACAGCCGGAACCAAGGATTTAAATAGTGGTCTACTATCGGAATAGCAGTCGTCGTTATATGACATTAATGGTACTGTCTGAAATCGTTGTTATAAGATTAAGATATTTGCAATCAACTTTATAGTGTCAGTCATGTCCATAACAGCAATAAACACAACACAACTGAAAATACGACCACAATCGCAGTTAGAATCCCTGATCGTAACAAATCCCTTGCTTATTTTTTCAAATGTGTTCAGATCTTAAAGTTCCATAATCAAACCTTGGTGTGAGAGTTACTTGATCAAGTAATGTGTATAATCCGATTGACACTAAACCATATATTCTTTCCAGTTATATATATCACTCAAAATAAAAGGCAAAAGACCAAAGGACGACATCTGGGATAGGCTGATGTGTTGGTCCTCTTAAAGCAATAACATTTTATTTTAGTCCCTTCAAAATTGTTAAATTTTAAATTAGTACAATGGTAATATTACCTTTGCCCCCTTAGAATGATAAATTTAGTATTTAATCTCTTCAGAAATTGACAAATTTTAGGGGTAACTACATCATTAGTCACTAAACTTTGAGCGTTGTCTTGTTTTGGTCATTGAACTGTAAAATATTTCAATTATAACACTATGCTTTTAGAATTGTTTTTCAGTTGCTTGACTATTACTTTTTAAAAACATGATCACATTGCATTTTTTAAATGAAATCGATTGATGTGGAGGCCAAAATATATGTTTTGTTTATTTTATTTGACATGAAATTTTTTTTTCTCCTCTTCATCTTCTTCATTAAAGGTTTTCTCACATTTTTATCAACCACCAAAAATTGTCGTTCTTTGATGTCTGTTGCGGTCATCTTAGACTCTAGTGAACTCATCTTGTTGTCCTATACCACTTAATGAGTTTAAAATTTCCAAAAGACCTCTTTAAAACTCATTTAATTAAATATAAGAAAATCATTATTTTGGGGGTTTGCGGAGTTCATCTACAAAAAACAGTGAGAAAAAATATTTCGAGAAGGTGAACAACATAACTCGAAATTAGTTTTATCGAGACGCCATTGACAGAAATTGAAGCATTAGAAGCTCTGAGCTTTAGATTTTTTTTAAATAATTTTGAATAGATTTTGAAGAAAACCAATCAAAGAAATGAAATACAAACATTTTGGTATCACTCTTGTTTCTAACTGTCACAAATGATTAACTATAATAGAACGACGACAACAACATGAGGAGGTTAAGGTTTTCTTGTAAGAAAGGAGGAAGACAATGACAAGTCTAACGATGTCAAAAATTTAATGGCTCATTGACTAAAAGAAGCAATTCAAAGTTTTTGGTTCTACAATTTAACCTTTTTATATTTCAGTGATCAAAATAAGATATTATCTAAATATTTTTTTATATAAGAAAGAGAGGCCTCGTTAAAACCCCCTTCATAACCATTAAAACACTAAGGTATCTTGACGGACATTAGAAAGAGGAAAAGAGCGCCTCAAAATTTTAAGCAATACAAGAAACCATTACAACAACACCTAACATCTGAAGTAACCTCCTAGAAAAACCAAAAAACACAAGCTCATCAAATTCCTATCTTAGCTAATTCATCCGCTTTACAGTTCACAACTCTACTGACATGTTTTACAATAACATTCCTATCTACTACCAAAAACCCAATTTCCTTCACTAGCGAACTAAATAACGTAGGACAAGAACTCGAAATCATGATCCAGTCTACGACTTTACTGCAATCGCTCTCCAAAATGTCTTTCCCTTGAGCTCCAATTCGAATTCATGAAGAATAATATACCGACTTTGATAGCCAACAGTTCGACCAAAATTGGAGGCCCAAACCAATACTCTCAGAAAATGTCCCCTACACCGAACCATCTTCATCCCTTAATAAACCACCTATTCCCCCTTTATTTCAAACTCATCCACAACTCCATCCACATTTATCTTGAAGAAACCCTTAAAAGGAGGACACCAAGACATCAAGCTAGCGCCAGTTTGAATGCCACACCCCCATGAATCAACTAGAGTTGTATTACCCACAAGACAATTGAAAATAATTGGGACAACAGGAAATTTCTCCAAGAACCAAGAAACCAGTTTGTACCTTGTTAGGAAGAACAGGTGTGTTGTCTAGCTTCCTACCTTCAAAAATTATTTCATTCATATATTTTCAGACCGATCATAAAAGTGCTCCCGGAATAAATTCCCAAATTTTCGAACGAGGCATCAGCATCCTCCAAACTGAAACTAGAGCAGCCGAACTTTCTGGAACAACAAAAGGGACATCCCACATCATCAAAAAAGTAGACCATAATTTCCAAACTACCGATCACGCCACAAACAAGTGAGAAACCATTTTATATTAATGTAATAATAAATTTATATTTTTGACACCTTTAATAACTTTTAATTCAACTTTGACCCCCTAGATACTTGAGGCCATTTTATATGTTGTGTGCTTATCTTTTCCTACAAATTCGCAGCTAAGCAATTATTGCTCCTTTGAGGGTGTCTTGTATTGCAAGCCACATTTCGACCAATTGTTCAAGAGAACAGGCAGCTTGGATAAAAGTTTTGAAGGTACTTATAACTTCTTTTACATATATTATTTCTACTTTTCATTTTCCCCGAATTGTTCGATCCATATATTTTTATATGACAATCATATCGAGTTTGGATAACATAGATTTTTAAACTTGTTTACTTTCATTTTATCTCTGCTACAAAAGCCTAATTGATATGTTATTTTGTTTACTTTCTCTTTGTCAGGGACCCCAAAAACTGTTAGGGTAGACCGATCAGTAGACCAGGTACCTCATACTCTTAAATTGCACTATTAATTTCCCAACATATGAAAAAAAAAATTCGAAACAATATAAATATACGAACATTAAACACATACTTGTATCAGATGCTTACACTCGAATTCGGATAACTGCTACCATACTTGATCACAGGGTCTTTATGTATAAATTATTACTTATTTGGATCTCTGCAGGTTGCCAACAGCAGAGTTTCGAAGCTGTTTGCTGGAACTCAAGAAAAGTGTGTCGCTTGCAAGAAAACTGTTTACCCCATTGAAAAGGTACTCTTAGCTTAGCCATTGAACTTCATTAATTGCATAATTTGTTGGAAAAATAGGTAATCTCCACGCTGGCCATAACGGTCCGCTTCCCTAAAAATTTTAAATTCTCATATGATTTAAGTTATACGGTTGCCCGTGATAATATCTTGTCAATATAAATGATTTCAGGTTGCAGTTGATGGCACTTCGTACCACAAGGCTTGTTTCAGGTGCAGCCATGGAGGGTGTGTGATCAGCCCATCGAATTACGTAGCTCATGAACATCGTCCCTACTGTAGGCATCACCACAGTCAACTGTTTAAACAGAAGGGAAACTTCAGCCAATTCGACAAGCATGAACAGGTCACCCTAGTGGTCACTGACGACAACATCATGGTCTAAAATTCCAGTTTTTGAATGCCCAGAATAATAATATCAGAGGAGCTGTTTCTTGGTTTATTTCTCTCTAGCATACGAGAAACAAAAATAATGTGATTTACAAGCAGGGAGAAATGTTCAGCACAAGTGTGTGTTTGTTGATAAAAATGTTTTTCTTTTTTGGTGTGTGTGAGCTTTGATACATTGATCATAGGAAAAACAGTAGTATGTTGCTGTCCTGCATTTATTTGAGTTCATCTTTTTCCTTTAAAATAAAACAGTTGCAGATGCCTTTTCGCTCAAAAAATTAATCCTCCTCTAATATTCATATTATAGAGTTTCTCCCATCACTTAGATTAATCCTAACAAGTGGCAGTTTAATGCTTACAACATGCTTAATCAATTGAACAACATCCTCTCATTTTTTAGGTAAACTACATTTATAGTATCCTAACTATCATTTTTATTTTGTTTTGATCACGTAATTTTTTTTTAAAATCATACCTAATGTTATATTTTAGTTTCATTTTAATCACCCACCATTAATAAATCAATGAGAATGTTAACATGTCACCATAAAATAATGTCACATCATTGATTTTTTTTCTAAAAAAATATCACATCAACATATCTTTTGATTTTTTAATGATGAATAACCAAAATGAAATACTAAAATATGATTTTTTAATGATGAATAATCAAAATGAAATACTAAAATATGATTTAAAAAAAAATAATTAAGTGACCAAATCGAAACAAAAGTGATAGTTAAGATACTATACGTATCTTCTTTTACTATCCTCATAAAAGTACCATTAGTTTCTTAGCACACCATATACACAACCTTCATTCAACTGTCCCTAGAGAATATGCAATTACCAAAGAAAATAACAAATCTAGAGTATTAATGGCAAGTTAAGTTACATTTTTGAAGGGGTAACTACGAATCTCGAACATAAATTATAGATATGCAAGTAGTAACTTAACTAGAGTTCTAAAAGAGGGCAAGTTTTTTGTTTAAAATAAAATTTTAAAACTCTATTATAATGATTTCATTTATAGTAAGCATAGTAGTAGTTTAACTAGAGTTCACAGTAAGTTTCCTTCATAGGATGCTCACATATAGTCTCTGAAGTAAACTGATGCATATATGGATGAGGCCATTTCCCTATTTTCATTCTGTTACAGTTCCAGCTTAGGGAAAACAAAAGAAAAGAAAAAGAAAAGCAAGCAGAGATCCTTCTTATACAAGGACGGCGGAGAAGAAGCATCTTTTTCCAATGGCTTTCCAATTACTTACTTGCCACCCTTCACCGTCCTTGTACCACTCCACCTATCACCCATCCAAAAAAATTATAAAAATGTTACGAAAAACACACGATATGAAAACGTAACATGAGAAAATATAACTAAAAGACGCAAAACATGACATCAAAAAAACTATCCGATAACCAGACAACTGTGTCTCAAGTGCCAAAAACCAAGGTTCTTAGTACAGTACCAGTGGGGTATATCATTTTTGTTCTAAGATTGGCATGTTTATAATATCTATTTGTTTTTTGTATCATTTCTAACATCTATATATTGAAGATCAGGGAGTAGTTACATACCTTGTCCAGAACTTCCCTATCATCCTGCAGCCCCCCAATAACATGTATTTCATCTCCAATCACAACAGTGCCAAAATGTCCCCTACAACTGTTCATGGAGTCCATCATCATCCACGAACCAGCACGAGGATCAAAGACCTCAACTGTTGACACCATTCTGCTTCCATCAAAACCCCCTATAGCGTACCTACAAAAAGTATTTCCGTTTACGCATTTGATACAAAGGTAAGGTATTCTTTATACTGCAATGTTATTTTCTATATACAAGAGAAGAAGGAAGCAAATATGTTATCAAGAAATTGATTGTTTGGTACTAATCTATATTAATGTGGAAATAAGTTAGATTGTTGTAGATCACATGAACTGTTGGGTGATTGCTCCATACACAAGGGTACATACAAGAAATGAACTTACAACTTTTCATTGAGCACAACCAATGCATGAGATCCTCTCTTTGCGGCCATGCTCGGAAGTTCTTCCCATGAATGTTGTCGAGGATCCAATCTCTCTATTGATCTGATATGTATGAAATGTAACTGTCAATAAGAATTTGGGACCAAAGTATTTTACGCTATAAACAAGTCCCCAAAAGAACATTAGGACATAAAATAAATATAATCATTTTATTAAAGAAGAAAAGATCAACCAATAAAAATAGTGGGATTGGTCCAGAATTACAGCAAAATCAAAAAAGGAAAAAAAAGGACAAGAAAACCAAATCAGAAATGATATTATGATAAAACCAAAGAAAAAAGGTAAAATAGGTCAGCTCTGCAGATAGATAAGCTGAAACCAGCAAGCATGTGAAAATACAAAATCAAGAAAACGCCAATCAGTCCATGACTTTGCCAAAGCGTTCACCTTGAAGATACTCTGGGAAGCAACCCAGAAAGAACCATCAACATGACAGCCGAGAATGAAAATCATCATTTGCAAGGAAACCACGATTCATTCACTTCACAATTTCAAGACGCAAGGGCATAAAAACATTGCAAATTAAACACACACAATCCCCTATGAGTCCACTTTCCTGTTGGAAGAAATTCTTAAAAGCAAAACAGTTTCCGAAAAGCTTTATAAGCACCAAAAAAAGAATCCCAAAAAGCAAGAAAAAATATATGCAAAAAACAATATCCTCAATAACAGGAAAACAACACCATACAAAATCCAAGCTGCTTCACCTCAGAAGCAGCAAAATACCCCAAAAGTTTTTCCAAAGCCAGCATCAGCTTGGCCTCAGCATGGAAAAATTAACACCAATTTAGAAAGACCCTGTCTGACCAAAAAAAAAACAATAGCAAAACATCATTTTCCCCTGAACGAGACCTCCACCACACCTAAACAGACACCGTAGACCCCAAAAAGGCAAATGCCTGACAAATTATTCTATAAGAAACCTGGCAATTTAATCACCGTAGACCTAAAGAGCTTTTCTTTGTTTTTCAATAACTTAGAATGTTAGTTTTTACATGGATAATCATCAGTTTAATCACACAAAGGCATTCACAACTCTGAAGTCTGACCTTCAACATGATAAAATAAAAAGTACTTACGTCAAGTACTGGTTTCCATTGTATCCTCCAGAAACATAAAGTATCCCATTGACTTCTGCTGCAGCCAGAGCAAATCTCTTCAGAAACAAAATGGTATTAGTTAATAAATCGGGAAAAGTTAAGATAAAGAAAGTTCTATATGATCAACGAAGAGTTTTACAACTTTCCCACAATGTCTAAGCAGCCTCTTCAGTGTCGGTAGGCTACCAACTAATTACCAACCCATGGCATTAGATATATCAGCTTATACATGCATCCAAGAATATGATATATATATATAAATATATACAAGTTATCATAAGAATATACCTTATGCAATAGTGATTGAGTAGGAATCCATTTTCCAATGTTTGGATCAAACATTTCTACATCTGAGAAACATTCAACTCCATTTCCACCTCCAGCGACAAACATTCTATCTTCTAAAGGAAGTAAACCAAAGCTTCCTTTCTTTTGATTGAAAGGGGGATGACTAGTCCACCGATTACTTCGTGGATTGTATGATTCAACTAGGGGAACAAAGACAAAAGAACAATTACCTTGTTAAGTTAGAAATGATTGCGAAAATAAATGACTAAATAGAACAATCATACCTGTGTCATACCACAAATTACAATCTACACCACCCAAAATATACAATTCATCACTAAATTTTGCTGCTGAAGAATATGAACGTAGAAAGCTCATTGAAGTCCATGTTCTCATCATGTCCTGAGAAGAAAAGTAGATGTCCAAAGCAGACATCCATGAACAACCATCAAATCCTCCCACCAGACAGATGGATACATCGCAAGCTGGATGGGGTTGATCATCCATTGATTGAAACTTCTCTTCGTCAGAATCATCCACCTCAACACACCTTGATACAGACCCCATTTCCAACATACTGCACTTCCTTTTCAACTGCTGAATTTCTACACTTGATTCAACCTAAAAGGCCAAGTTGTTCAACCATCAAAATTGCTATCTCCATCGAACACACCACTTAATAAACTTAGTATACATTTAGTTTTCCCAACTCCAGTTACAGTATATGCAAATATCAGGTAAAAGAACTATAACATGGTTTTTGAAAGAGAATGATAAATGCCTAAATCTGGAAAACAAAAATGTATTTCGTTATTAAAATCTGAACTCCGGCAAAATAAAAAGTTCAAAGCTGGCATTTCAAAACTTTGCTAATATAATCTGCTAAGAAGATGCCACTTGCAAAGAGTAGAGTCCTGCTTTAAATAAATAGTGCACCAATATTGAAAAAAAAATATACATCATGGCATAACACCGAAAAAGGAAAAAGGCATCAATGGAAAACGTTGAGTAATCTGGAGATAAAAGCAAGAGATTATATACAGCACAATTATGAAAAAAAAGGGATAAAAGATGCTGAACATGTTCTACAACCAAGGGTGCAGATTAGAAACCAATATTGTTTTTACCAAAGCTTAAACAACACAGGTTCACTTAATAAGATGGAATTTTGCGTTAAGCTCGCTTGACATTTGATAAAAGCTTTCAAATATGGTCACTCATTTTCTTTAAATTTTCAAGCTAACCTGAAGTAGAAAGTAAAAAATAGCAGGATTCGTTGGGCAGTTCACCTCTGGCTTCCCTACCAATAACAATGTTTGGCATTCTAGTTGCAGCTAGGACAAGCATGGTGTTTAACAAGGGAGGGTAATGATTCAAGAACATTGATAATATCATATAATATGTGTATCTACCACCACAAAGCTATCATGTACAATTATATGAAACTGTACGATGAAGCACAATGTTTAAAATCAAAAGAAACAACTATCAAGGAATCAGATATCATACCAGCTCTTTCTCTAAAGAATTGACCTTTTGAGCTTGCTTGAACTGAGACAACCTCAACTCCCGCACTTCAACCAACAACTATAAGAACATAGCACATCATAGTAAGGGTAAACATAACTGCATAAAAATGAAACAGTTAAAGATTTATTGTAGTGAATAAAGTACCTTGGCCACCGTCGAATGAATGCTAGAAGAGTTCATTTCAGAGGCCAATGCTAATTCTGGATAAGAGAGATTAATCGACTGATCTTCACTGTCTTCCGATTGACTATGTGTTGGTACAACCTCTGTTGGCACACACGGAGACAAAGGCCAATCATTATCTGAATTGAACAATGTATCTTCCCTAGGTAACTCTAATGGATTTTCCTTTCTAGGAACTTCCAAAAGAAGGTTCAATGTACTTGGCTCTGTCACCACAGAAGAACAAAAGGCTTCACAGTTTGGTTTTGAGCTTGCAACTTCTCCATATTCTTGAACATCCTCAGGGTCTAACAGAGCTTCTTCAACCTCGTTACTTTCATCCCAACAATCTGGAACACATTGAGCATCAAATTCTCCATTAAACATATCTAAATGACCAGGATTCACTTCTGCAGCTGGCAAATGGAATTCTTCAACTTGCTTTGTTGCATCAGGACAAGTTTCCTCTTTGAACAAAGCACTCCACTTTTTCTGTGGACATCTCACAACACAAGAGAGCCCAACACTAGACTCAGGTTTATTAGCATCAGTAATATTCACATTTCTCACTACAGAAGAAAACGAGAGCCCAACACTAGGATCAACAGTGGGACCTTGCAATTTCAAAGTAGATCTCTCTCCAGAATCACAATTTAGATTTACATTGGGGGCCTTTAATGCTTTGAGTTGAGTACCCCTCTTTTCAGTTTTATTTGAGAGGAAAGTACTAGTTACTACAGGCGAAGAGGAAAACACAGATATCAACTTTTTTGTTTGAGCCTGATCTAGTTCAAACCAAAAAAGCTTTTCTTCATAATAGTTATCTGCAATTATTGGTTGGAACTGGCGTTCCAGCAATGGTTGGCATTGCATTCGTACTCGAATTTTCACCTGAAAACAAATGCAGAAAGACCAATTACACACTTTGATCAAATTATCAAATCAATACACAAAAGCAGCATAAAGTACAGTATATCACAATTAATACCTGCGCAGCATAAGGGGTGTTCTCCGAACCATCTATGGTCCAAGCACTGGAGTTGATAGAAAGTTTTCCTAAGCTTGCAGCCTCAAAGATACCATGGAGCTTCCTGTCACTATAATTGAACAAGAATAGTGGCAATCCTGGCTCAATGTTCTTTACATAGGAATAATGACCTGAAGGTAATCCTGTTAAAAGATTTAAACACCACTTTTTTCATAAGACCCTGGACAAAATTATGTGCATATGTTCATCAAAAAGTAGATCAATTGCTCCTAAGTGTAAGAGGAAACCAACCGAACAATTGCTTAGACAAACATTCTCCAAATGTACTATGTTTGCATCCAAAGATAACACCAGCTAAATCTCTCTTCCTAAGATTCCTAGCAGTCGTGCAACAATTAACCGTAAAACGCTGCTGAGCTTTTTCCTTTGCAGTGAATGTCTGTTTCTTCCTCCCAGCACCCATGCTGTTATTCAAGGAAAATATCATCTTTAAAGTTCCATCAAGCCAAAGACGCAAAACTACAATAAACATTTGCCACATAAAAAGAAATTAACACACAAAAATATCTACAAATACAAGAATATGCACTCATAAAAATATAATAGCCCAATGTAATGAATTTGAATGGAAGAATCTATTTTCCCTAAAATATTATCAAATAAAAGAAATAAACACTCGATTTTGCAGTAAATTCGACGTAAAGATAATGTAAAAAAAACACTAAAACAAAACTAGTAGTCAGGGAAAAGGAAAATACAATCAAGCATGGAAAAGAATCAAAATGAGTTTCAACCACGATACGCCATTTTATCAAGTTTAAAGAATTAAAACTTCAACCGAAGTCACTCTAGATAGAATTTTAAAAAAATGACAACAATAATGAGCAAGTATGCAAAGAAACGACCAAAATCACTGAAATCAGCAAATTAAATGGCAAGAATGTCTGATTATTGATAAAAATACAAAATTAATAAAAATGGCATGATCATTGCATTAAAAACAGAGTTGATGCTTAAAATAAAAAGTTTCCAACATTCTGGAATTCCCCCCCCCCTGATTACAGGGAAAATATCGTCATTTCGTATGACAAAAAAAACAAACAAACAAAAGAAATGATGAAAAAAAAAGAGATAGAAGAAGATCAAAAGACATGAAACGTCGTTTCTTAAACAAAAACAGAAAGGCTGTACTCTTGACACTCTTCCACTCCAAGATAAGAGATAAAAACAAATGAGCAGAACATAAAAAATCAAAATAAAAGTTGAAAAAAATAGCATGATCACTGATCAGCAAGAGTGAGACCTGCACTGAAAGAGAAAAGAAGAATGAAATGGCGTTGATAGTTTCTCGTGGATGTTACTAGAAAAGAATTGAGGAAATGAAATCAAAAAAACTTTAGGGTTAATGGGAATTGATTATTTTTTGGAGAGAGAACAAAATACTGTACGGAAAATTCATGGGAAAGGAGAGGTTCTGAAGCGCGAAAATACTATTTTTGTATGGCAGAGTACGGTTTCATTTCAAATTACTTCTTTGCCCTTTATGTACATTTTTTTCATTTTTGTTTCATCCCACATGTTCTTATATATTATACGGGAGAAGCCTCTACAATATGTTGGGAAATATTACCAAGTGGATGGATTAGAATTTGGACATGTGATTACCATGTGTCATTTCTTTAATGATTTTGATTTAATTTAAATTCATTTTTTATATTTTTTATTGATTTGATTTTTCTGTGAATTGAATTGAAACTTATTCTCTTTTAATTATTAATTTTACTTCCATATTAGCTTGGTGTTAATTTTGTGGAAATTGACGTTTGATTTATTTCCATATAAAAATATGGTAATCTAATTACCTCTGAATAAGAAAAATAAGTGGGTTACCAGAGAGGAGATCAAACTTTCTATGTCGGGAATCAATGTGGAGAAAGCCCCCGGACCTGATGACAATACCTCTTGTTGGCAGGTTTAATTCTTTTGGGTTACCCGATTTCTGAAGGGTAAAAATCCTTGGCAAGAGAGGTTTTCTCAGGGGCAAGATCTGTTGCACAGTATTAAGGATGAGTCGAATATAAATTGTTGGGTAAATCTGTGAATAGGGAAGGCTTTGTTAATATTAACTTTTGTATAGATTGGAGATGGTATAGAGCTACTCTGTAAGTAGTAATTGTTAGTTGTTGTTGGTGGATGTTGTATTATTTTGGTTGCAGCTTGCTGTTTTCGAATAAATAAATACATAGTTATCCAAAAAAAAAAGATGAGTCGTTAGAGAACAAAATAAAGAGATTAACAATATCAGATCAAGATACAAACAAAACTTCAAAACAATTAAAAATAAATAAAAATTAGATCCTATTGGCCTCTTCTAGTCCTCATTGACACCCACTTTTTGTTCATATGTGAATGCAATTTCTCTTCAAAATCTAAGCTTTCAGTGTTCGTCAGCTTTGAAGATTGATATCCCAACTTGCTGTCATCCTCACTGATTTCTTCATTTTGGGTAATATCAGAGCTCAAGTCTTGTGGCTCTTCCCACTGTGTCTCCTCTTTTGCCTTCTCCATGTCAGCATTAAACATGTCCAAAGACAGTTTTTCCTCAGCTGAAATGTCTGAACTTGAAGTAGAAAGTGTCCTTTCTATCCATAAATCTTGTTTTTTCTCTTCAGTTTCGTTCAGCTCGATGTCATTGCTAGTTTGGGTCATTGTTTGTTCTTTTGATTCCGAATCGAGCTTGTCGAATGCTATGGCATCTGGCATTGCATCAGAATCATCTTTTGGTTCATTTTTATGAATGGAAGCAGTTTGATCATCTAGATCGAAGTCTTGGGGTCCAATTCTTGAGAGCTCAACAGCAGCTCTTGCTGCTGCTGCTGCATAAGCTGCTGATTCAAATGCCTCTTGAGCAGCATCGGCCACATCTCTGTACTTCTTCCTTGCTTTTATCGACTCTGTTAGCCTTTGATCTAGGACTATTTCATTGTCTGACTCTTGCAACTTTGCGGATTTATCAGCAATGGATTCATCCTGCTTCTCATTGACATCCTGCAGTAATTGAATATTGTCATTTTGGAATCGAAATTCCAACTTCGACGGTCGATTTTCATTTTATTACAAGTTTCTCACCTCTACAGCCGTTGCCTCCAAACGCAAGGTGATACCCTTCTCCGATGCAATCTCCTTAAGCAACTTCAATTTGGTTTCCAAGCTCGGGCGTCGTGTTGAAAACTTCTGTATTATCTTGGGATGCACACTGCAACTGTTGCGTAATTCGACGGCACGAGCGACAAATTCTTTCCCGAAAGTCGACGATAAAACGCCACGAATGTGAAGCAGCTCAGGGAATTCTCCACATCTTGATGAAGCAAACATCAAGCTTGATGTTGCCTCTTTGAGCTCATCAGGACATTCCCTATATATATGATTGAAACATGTCAAATTTCAAGTATATATGTATGAATCAAACCATGAGAAGATCAATCAAATATTACTTGTTCTTTTGAATCAGCATGACTCTCTCAATCAAAAGATTACAGTAGCCTTCCATGATAGTAAATGCATCCACCATATTCTGTTCTTTAATCAAATAGTCCACCCGAAGAAGGGCTTGTTCGTGGTGACCGAGGTTGAGGAGTTGGACGACATCAGACCGGGCATGTGAATACCGGACTTGATGCTGGTTCTTCAGGATACCAATCCTGGAAACAGCAAGTTTGGTCAGAGTTATGAACTTGGAAGTCTTGAAGTTTCTCCCCAGCAAAGCATCCAATTTCCTCCCCATGTTTCTCTGCAATGAACAAAGTTTGAAGCACAAAATTGGCTTATAAATCGCAACATGGTAGGCTGTGGAGCTATTTGAAGACAACAGTGAAAGAGGCACGTGTCAGCCTTGGAATTGTGAACTTTGATTGCACTTGGTCTTTTGGTTTGAATGAGTCTAAAGAGATTGGTCAATTTGTGGAGGCTTGTCGTTTTTTTAAATTTTTTTGTCTAGAACTTTTCCACACGATTGTTTTTGGTGAAATAATCAATGCCCCAACTCAACACACAATGTTCAACCGCTACCACTTTCTCAACCTCATGTATTTTCGTGCTAAAGTTTGAATTTACTGTACCCATAAATCTAATATATATATATATATAGATTAAATAAACATAGTTATTTAAATGAAAGTTTTCTTGATAGAATAATCTCTTTTATTATCGAAATCATTTAATATATTTTATTTTTTGAATATATATAAGAAAATTAAATTCAACCATTTATGTATAGAATTAAATAAATAGGTATATGGAATAACTAGTATTCGTATAGTTGATGGGTGCATGAGGTTGCGTGAAAATGAACCTTGACATTTGCGATTTGGTGGGAAAGGCGGTCACCATTGGACATCATCGCCGTTGGACATTTGTCATTTGGGGGTCACCATTGGACATTGTTACATGGAATCTGCGGATTGCACTTGACAATCAACGCTGCATATGATTTGCAGTTAAGGTAACCAAAAATCCTTCACTACCTGCATTTTCCCTTCATGCGATAAGTCTGTTCCTACCATATACCATAACCACAAATTACAATTGCAAAACTCTGCTCTTTTACTTGGACCGTAAACGAGTTTGTTCATGAATATAAACAAATAAGTCATAAACAAGCTTGTTCATGAAAATAAACGAACTTAACACACATCTATTCGTGTTCATTCGTTTATTAAATGGATATGAAAAATTTGTTCATGCTCGTTTATTTAGCTTAAAAAATGAACTTAAACAAACATTTTACGAACAGTTCGCGAGCGGTTCACTGAAAACTATGGCATTTGCACCCTATTCATCAACCCTGCTATGTTGGTGTTCAAATTATTAACTAAAAAATAAGTAAAATTATATTAAATTATTTTTATTTAAATTATTTTTCATATATTATGAAAATAATTAAAAAATAAACTTCAATAATTATGATAAATTATACAAAATATAATATAATTTTAAAATATAATGTGTAATTATAGATTATAGGTGTGATGATCACATTTTAATTTTAAAATATAAAGTTTGGAGCATTTTTGTTGACTATAATTGAGGTTACATTGTAAATGTGAAACCTGCTTCCCATTATATATTAGTTGAGATTGTCTTGCCTATTAGGTGCGTATGTTTGAAAGAAATACCCCGAGTCTATCATTATTATTAGTTTCCCCACTTCGCATGGGAATTATATATATATAAGTGTCTTGATTACTAAATATGGTGAACATCTTTTTCATAAGGACGCTAGATATTAGAGTAAACTACTTAATTAGTCATCAAAGTATTGAAGGTATTCTGATTTCATCATTAAATTAAAAAATCTAGCATATAGAATCATTAATGTTATATTTTAATTTCAATTTAGTAATTTGCCGTTAAACCGGTAACCTAAGTTAATTTTTAATTGACATCATTAAAATTTTAGTCCTTGAAACTTATAAATTTTATCAATTTCGTTTTAGTTTTAAATAACTCAAATAAATCACCCTCACATTTACAAATTGTATCGATTAGTACTTTCACATTTATGCATTTAGTCCTCAACACTTACAAATTTTGTTGGGATTCCAGTTGATACGAAGAAGATTCAAGAAATTGTAGAATGGAAGCCTTCGAAGAACGTTGGTGAGGTATAAATTTTCCTTGGTCTAGTCGATTATTACAGTAGATTCTTTAAAGGATTCTCCATAATAGTTTCTTTGTTAACTCAACTTCTCTATAAAGATGTATAATTTTTTGGTTTGAAAAACATCAACAAAGCTTTGACCAACTTAAGCATATTCTGACTAATGTTTCGATCCTAACTCAACCTGAATAAGAAAAATTACTTCACAATGTTCATTGATGCGTCACACAACAACATGGGTTATGTTTTGATGCAAGAAGGAAACATTAGTCTTTACTTTAAAATTTTGGAGACATTAACTCAAAGAATTGATTTCATCTTAGATTAAAAAAATATTGGGTCTATTTTAAGATTATTAGACAAAATGTCAAATCCAAAAAATAAAATAAAAAAAGTGAATATTATTATTGAATCAAACAAAGCAAAAATAAATATAGAATTAAAATTAAAGAACAAAATTATTTACTCGTATATAGATATATAATTAGATGAGCAGAGTTAGGTAAACATAAGAAGATTTTTTTTTTTGTCGAGGCTTATATAAACAACTTCTTTAAGATAAATTCGTCATCTCCTCGGTACTTTGAGTAACATTGGACGTTAGTCTCCCATGATACAATAACAAACGATCACATTAGTAAACACAACAACAACGAACAGCCAAACATAATCTTGTTTTTCTCTATCACCAGAAAGAACAAATTTGGAAGGAATTTTTTCAAGTCTTTCTTTTTTTCCAAGTCTTTCTTTTTCTAACTTGTGTCTAAATTGTGTCTCAACTAGCCTTTATATATTGGAGATGAAATGAATTGAAAGATTAAGACTACTGGATGAAGATAATTGTTAAAAACTAATAGATATGATTGAATGGATATAACTTTAAACCAAAAATTTATACGTATATTCACCAAGTTATATAACTTATTATTAATAAGTCTATTTACCAAGTGACATAACTAATTATTAGCATGAATATCATTAAACTAATTTGTTATTTTTTCCCAACATATAAGTGATGGGGTGGAATTTGAGTATTCGTATGAAACTATTGTTCACTTATGCTATACTTTGTGCTTTCGAATTGCAAAGCATGCTAATCTTATAATTCATGTATGTCATCCATGTTTAATTACTTTTTTGTGCTTCTAAGTGATATGCAATGCTCATATGTATTATGACTTAGTGATTTCCATCATTTGATTTGCTTTGATTAATTTCGACTACCTCACTGAGCTATATAAGTTCACTCAGTATATTTGATTGTTTCTACGGGAAATCATTTTTATAAAGTGTTTGAGATTACATTTTTGAAGATTATAAGTCAAACTTGTTTCAAAACAATGTAAATGATCCTAGTTCTAAACTCCTAAAATAGTATCTATACAATCATATTTTGTTGTGTAAATTGAAGTTGATGGTTATGTTTGTTTGCTTATGATTTAATATTTGTATAACTTTAAGATGCATGATCATGCTTGTCTTTACCTTTTTGATGCTTGTGATGTGATGAAACTATCTGATAATATGGAATAGCTTGATAAATGAAGCATAAACTAGTAAAAATATGCCCAATTACAAATCTCTTGAATTGAATCTCAATTTGTGTGTGGTATAACTATGATTGATTTGTGTCTAAATGTTGTTATAAACTTGTGTATGTGGCTTGCTTGTTAGTTATTTAATGCATGTTGGATATAGTTTAATGATAAAGTTTGTATTTTGGAGTTGCTTGGTCAGCAAGGTAACCAAATGTATTTCTTGTGCTTAAAGGTAACATATTTGTGTTAAACATGAGAGGAGTTTTCGAAACCTCATTGAAGGTTCCAAAATTTCTTAGGCCGATTGTTTAGAGTTTCTAAACCGTTGTTGATGATTTTGAAACCTTCGAGATGGCCTATTCAAGATTTTAAAACCCATCATAAAGGTTTTAAAACCCCTACTCAAAATTATCTATATTACTTATTTAGTCCTCTTATAATGTACCATGTTGTATTATAACCCATATACTTATTATGTTTGTTAATTTAATCCCTTAAAAGGGTAAATTATGATGTTTGATTGATTATAATTTCAGGGACGACTGCCCTCGTTTCTCCGTGGTCCATCCTTGTGGGGAATACTAAATCAAGCTCATGGTCCGAATCTGGTGAACTAAAATTGTCGGTTTTGTACTTTTGTTAGTCGAAACACATGGATACGAAGCTACATTTCCGTCACATCAGATCTTATGTTTCTCCGATATATGTAACCATTGACTCAAACATAGAAAGTAGATAAAACAAGTGATAATGAAGGAATTTGCTCAAATACTACTCTTTTAAATTAAATTGCAGAAATCATGAACGATTAAATTAGCGGGAGTTCTGATAGGATTAAATTGTGGGCTCTCGAAATGACATGTCAAATAAGGATGATAATTTAAATTATAAATTTAGATATTTATAGATATTTAATATATATTTTTATAAATTTAGAAATTGTAAATTTGAATTATCTCAGATGTTAAAATTAAAATTTAGTGTAGATTTAAAGTGAATATACGTAAGTGCAAATCGGTAAGAAGAGTTTGGGCGAACATGTTTAAACGTAATTGATTGTCAGTTAATCTTCGCAATCAGTGAGACTTTTCTATAAATGGATAGCATTGGGTCGTACTTTTTACGATGGTATGCTGGAATATTTGGAAGCAAAGGAACATCCTACTCATCGTTGGAAATTTTCTAGAAAAAAAAATTATTCTAAGAAACCAACGAATGATGAACAACATCACCACTAGTAGAGAAGCTCGGCAAAGATCCGATGTCTACGTGAGAAATAGAGGCCTATGACGGAAACCGGAAGCAGGTTGGGTTAAAATTAATGTTGATGGTGCTGTCTGTACAAAAGAAAACGAGGCTGTTGCGGGTGGAGTGTTTCAAAATAAGCAAGACTCATGGTCTTTTGGGTTCTCTAGGAGCATTGGTATCTGCTCTGTGTTGGTAGCAGAAATATGATCGGTACATGATACGTTAATGCATGCTTGGAGACTCGACTATAGAAGAGTGGAGATTGAGATGGATAATCTTGAAATATCCAAGACTCTTAATCACACACATCATGTGCCTTGTCGGAAAATGCTATTGTGGCTGATATTAAAACTATGTTGCTCAAAAACTGGGGGGTGAGAACGAAATATATTACGAAGAAAATAAATACCGTGACAGATATTTTGACGATGATAACTTGTGGTAGATTCGTTAGAGAACTCGTTTACGATGAGCTACCGAGGGAGGTTGCAGACTTGGTGCTGCAGGAGCCTACTAAATGTCGATAATGCTCAAGGGTGTATGAGCACATATCTCACATTGGGAAGGAAAATGTCTTTGCGAATGTATTTAAAGGGATATCCTTTCCATTCCTTAGTGAAACTGAAAGCTTTAATTGTTGTAATTTGCCAGCATTTTATTTTATTGATTAATTATTGTAATTAACAGCTGAATATTTGGAGAACTGTCTGGCTATAGATTAGGACGTACCTGGGCAGTAGTTACAAGGTTTAATTACAATCGTTTGACCTGCTGTTATAACAAATATTTGAGGTCAGGTTTGAGGTCAGGTTTGATTTGTTACAACAGAGTAACTATAGCAATTAATCAACAGTTTTCACGAAATTCAAAATCATATTTTATTATTGATTTCTAAATGACGTTTTTAACCCAGGTTTAATCCTATAAATAACTGAATATTTTAGCTTTTCAAAATATTGGGAAACACTCACATGCGGCGCCTTAGTATACAGCAAAAATAAGACGTTATTGGTTTTGTTATTATTTTAAATAACAAAACCGGTAAAAAAATGACCGAAAATATCATTATTTTGAACGATTCTAATTACCCATAAACGTAAACGCGAAAAAAAAAACCAAATATTAAAAAGCATCATTCTTTGCTTACAAAATATTCTTTGTCCTCTAAATGTTGTAAAATGCTTTATGCTCTTTTTTGGTATTAAGAGAAGAGCGGTATCACAGCTTGTTCACTCTGATTTTTGGGTCTACGAATTTTCAGAGAAACCGTGCTAACCTCGAGAGACGACCGTCTATTGTAGTGATTACACACATCGAAGAAATTTTTTTTAAGACAGTGGTTAATACCACGACATAATTGTTCATTTATTTATTTTTTATTTTTTATTTTAAATCCATACATTAACGGTTTGATTTTATAGTTTCCATTTCACCAACATTGAAGTCAATAAATCAATCTTTTTCCATTTCATGTTTTATAAATATATATATATATATATCTTTGAATATTCATTACCTTAAACAATATTATTACGTGGATTGTAAATTCATATATTTAAATTTGATTTCGAATTATAAAATGAAGAACATGTTTGTTTATAAGGAGGTTAAAACTCAGTCATTCAACTTTTAATGAATTTAAATTTGTATACATTTTAATTTTAGTCGTGATTTAAAATTTAAAATTTGAATTATTTATAAATTCAGATATGTAATATATAATGTTATTTAATTTTGAATAATACTACTCAACTAATTTATAATAAAATAAATTTCAAATACATTTATAAATTTAAATAACAAAAAAGTTTCATATACCTGCAATGGTATAATTCTTAATACCAACAATTAAAAGTAATAATATCTGACTGGCTGAAGTAATTTATTGTTCTTTTTTCTTTGAAAAAGGCAGCCAACCCAAAGATGAATAATGAGCAATTAACACTTGGTTCGATGAATACAGTTGTTTTTGTGTCCTCACTCGTTAAGGCCTCGCTGCATTATAGGGACCTTTTTACAAAGTTGGAAACAACAAAACCTCAAAAGAATAGATTCGAATTTTATTTATGGATTCCAACGTAACTGATTTTGCTCTTTCTTAAAGTTTATTTAAATTAGTAAAGCATCTCAAAACATATATTTTAAAATTATTAATGAACCCTGATTAAATATATAATTTGATATTAAATCATGTAGTTCCTAACATAAATTTTGGTTGAAACATGTAGTTTAATATGTAAATTTTGATTTAAAATTAATTTTTATATGTACAATTAAAGTAAAATTAAAATTGTATGTATATTATCGCATAAATTATATTAACGTTTTTTTTTATAAATACGAGGTAAAATCAAAGTAATGTCTACTTAAAAACTCTCAATCGTTTGAGAATAAACGTCCATACACTTACATACGCATTGCTCGAACTCGGGATCTCAAAAGATAATATCAAGTTCCTTAATCATTAAGGTCACTTGGTTTGTGCATATTATATTTATGTTAAATTAAAATTAATATATAATTATAAGATTTAACCATTTGAAAATTAAGTGAATCTGAATTTTAAAACATTATTTTTTCCTGAAACAACTTAATACTGCATTAATCCAAAAACAATTAAATGTAGTATAATCTGAATTACTATGACCTTAAAACTCTGTCATAGAAAGGATATGATTGAGACACAAAGAACGTTAAAATTTAAAGTTTGAGCCTTATTATATATATATTGAACAATTTCTACCTAGAGAAGGGAAAAGAACAATTTTACTCTATATCCAATTTTATTCCTTCTGGATATTGAATTCACTACCTAAGAGAAAAGAAAAATATCGACTAAGAACTTTTAATTATCTACTCTAAAAGTTATTGATGAATCTTATTATATTTAAATTTCATATATTAATGCTCATTCTATTTATTTTAATTCTGAAGGTAATTAATTGTACATATATTATATGCAATTAAAATCATAACGCAATTATATCTGCAATCATAGTTTTTTGTAATAGATATCTGTAAGCATACTTTAACATAAAGAAAAACATAGTATGGAACAATATTAACTTGACTAAGATTTATTTTGGGAATGTTTTTTCAACGAGTTTTTTCAATGTGAAAACACAATTTTTTTCAGTTTTTTGGTTTGAATCAAAAAGTTCGTTTGAAACGTGAATTTTTGATTAAAAATGAACTGTTTGAGATTACTTTTGTATTTAAAATGGATTTTTGGATCATAAGCACTTCTATAAGCAATTCAAACGACCTCCTAAATCTATGTCTCAAATTCGAAATCTGGATTATTCAAATTTTAGAGTATTTAATCAAATTATTATTTTTAATTGAAAATGTCACAATTCGGAATTGTAATCGCCAATTTTACCCATAAAAATAATAAAATAAAATAAAAAAGGAAAAAACAATCCCTGAATATTCAGGACATTCAATGCCCCGATTACTGTAGTTGCACCGATCCCAGCTCATCCCCATCTGCTGCCATCACCTCTCTGCCATCTCCATGCTGCCACCAATTGATCTCAGCTACAGCAAAATCACAGGCATACAAGCAACGAAAATATTAAAAAAATTGGGGATTTATTTTTTAACTCGGGAATGGTTTATTTAAACCCCCTAAAGTAATGTAAAGCAGTCTCTTCTTCCCCGATTCGAAAGGATTAACTATGTAAAGGGGTCCCTTTTTCCCCAACATTTTCTTTAAGCAATAACAGAGAACAAAGTTTTTTCTTCCGATTTGTTTCATCAACTAAATATAAAATTGTTAGGTATGGCTCATAAATATATGTTACAGGGTTATATGTGTAAATATGTACAAAGGTTTATTTATTATAAATAGAGATGTAACCTAAACCTATGAGACATTGAATAAAACTTCTAGCGCCGCCTAGGCACCGAGGACGTAAGCACAATGATGAACCTCGTTAAAATTCTTGTGTTCTTTTGTTTTTCTTTACCCGATTCTTCAACAAAAATTATATTTCTTATTTTTACTTTTTATTTCCTTTCGAACTAACCTAAAAAAAAGGGAGGAGGAATATACCTCTCGGCAGGATCTCTCACCGGTGATCGGAGCTCTGTTGCCCAATCCAAACGGTGAGGAGGTACAGTGGTGAGGAGAACAATATACTCCGGAATCAAGGCGATCCAACGGTGGACGGTGGAGATCGAAGCATTAGAAGCCGAGAGGTTTTCGGTCATTTTCGTGGAGCTTGGGGCTGATTCTTGTGAAACCGTGAGTAGATCCGTGACCACCGCATCGAGAAGAGTCGGTCTAAAAATTTTGGGACCGAACAGCCACTAGCGACGATGACGACACGGTGGCTGACGGCGGACGGGCTCCGTCCGAATTATGGGGAAGTTTTAGAGAGAGGGGAGAGAGTTTGAGTGATAAGAGAGAGAGATTTAAGAGAAAAATGAGGAGAAAAAAAAGAAAGAAAAGGGGTATATATAGCACAGATCGGACGACGTAGTTTTTGGGGCTCAGGGGCATGTTTTAGGATTCGAAGGGTCTAATCCCTTAAGTGGTCCACCTAAGTTCCTGTAGTTTTCATTTTGGTCACCTCTTTATTTACTTTATTTTTATTATTTTAAAATATTTGTCCTCACTTTGTCATTTATCCTTTTTATTTTTAGTATTAATTTTTAAGTTATTCGTCATCGAAATTTTAGGGTTATTTTCACTTTGACAACTGAACTTTGCTTGGGTTTTCGTATTTTGGTCATTGGACCTACCATTTCTAACTTATTACAATTTTATCATTCTGTTTTATTTTATTTTAATTTAGTCACCTATTTGCATTGTTATTTATTTGGAATTAGTTATTGTTTCTTTATTTTGTTTAATTTTAGTCACTAATTTGTTTTTTTATTTTAGTTGTTTAATTTAAAATTTATTTTAATCTAGTCCTTGTATTATATGTTTAATTTATTTTCCTTTAAATCCATATAATTTAATGATAATGTGATTTAGTCTCTTTATATTTAATTAGTTGGATCTCAATTAAAATTCGTATTTGTGTGCTTATTTTATTTTACTTTTTATTTTATTTATTTGTTTATTTTATTTTCACATTTTTTTATTAGTAGTTTGATATTTTAACATATATAGTTGTTTTACATTAGCCTTTTAGAGTGTGTTTAAATTAGGATCTTTAAGTTAAAAAAATCTTTTAGTAATTAGAGTTTCACTTTAGACTTAATTAGGGAACAATTCGCTAGTTTTCGCAAAATGCTCGATTACTTAAATCAATTGTTCGAATCCTCAAATTATTAATCATTAGCTAACTTTTAATAACTTATTTAGTTTAACCTTTCTTTTTAGAAGTTAATTAACACAATTATTAGAACCTTAATTTATTGGCTAGCCTTTAAACTTTAGGTACTATAGATTTAGTCCTTTATGTTAACTTACTTACACTAAGGTCTCTAAACTTTTAAGTTTTATATTTAGGTCCCTAAATTTAGTTCTCTTACATTTTGGCCCTTAAACTTTTAATTAGATTTTTTTAATTAACATAATCAATTTGGATAATTAGAGCCTCATTTTAAGCTTCGTTTCAAACTTATCCTTAAACTTAAGCGGATTTTTAATTTGGTCCTCGTTTTTGCTAGAGGTCCCATTTTAACTATTCGAATATTCCATAATTGGTTAAAATTAATTAGGTTAATATTAGAGCCTATACTTTTAGGTTTAATTACCTAGATCCCCTAAATTTTATAATTTACATTTTAAGTCAGATAGAAGCCATTAACTTGATTAGTATAATTAAGTTTCATAACTATTTTTTTACCACATTTTTGTTTTTTTAAAACCTAAGGCAATGTTCACTTATTGAGGAATTAATGGTATATCTCCCGCTCAGGGGGTGACTACTGGTGATTCCCGAAATAGATCGACATCCTTTTCAAAGATCGCATCATGATTTTCTTAAAATGAGATAATATTCGGTTATTAGGAACAATAGCTGATCTCCCGCATTTACGCTTGGGAGCGAATGCTATCGGTTTAAATAAACGAATACCCTTTTCAACTTTGCATTAGTAATGTTTTTCAAATTAAATAAAAATCGAACTCAAAATTTTTGGTTTTAAATATAGGGTAATTTATTAGGTATCCATTCTTGGGCGTTTGTAGGGGTGCTAATCCTTCCCCACGCATAACTGACCCCCGAACCTGATTTCTATATTTTCGCATACCTTAAAACTCTGTATTTTTATAAAAATAAAATGTATTGTTAAAATTACTAAGTTTTTATGGTATCCCAAACGGACCTTAAATTATTGGTGGCGACTCTTCACATTTCGAAAATTCATTTCAAAAAGAGAATTCCCGAATCAGTGTCGGTCTTTCCCTGCTCGGACGAAAAACGAGGTGGACAGGAATGATCCATCACCCTACCTTCCCAGTTGCTATGTCTACTCCTATAACAGAATAAAGATTCCATCATTTTCGTGTCCTTTTGGAATGTTTTGGTTGGTGAAGAGGAATTTTCTTTAGGAAAATACGACGCAAATAAAAATGGCAATATTTTACTTTTCTTTTCTTTCGCATTACCTCTGTTGATGGAAATGAAGGAATTATGTCAACTAAACGTGATTCATCTTTTTTTTACTTAAATAAAAAATTATAATCGTCAATTAACGATCTACTGATAAAATTAATGATAAAGAGACAGAATAGAATATGGAAAGATTCTTCTTCTCTTTTAGTGTCTGGAAACTTATATAGACACATTGTATTTGTTAGATTTTTTGAATTTGTCAATTGTTTTTACATGAGATTATGAGACAATGACATGTCAAATGATTTAATTAATTTTGGAGGTGTGGTGTTTTATCGGAAATATAATCATTCATTTCACTATTGAAGTTGTTTGATTATATATGAAAGTGTGAGATTAGTCTACCTTTAATTGAGGAAATGTTATAAAATGACTTACTATTTGCGTAGCAGAAAAATCTAATCAAACTAGATTTTTTCGAGTAGATTTACTACTTTCAATCAAATTTGATATTTTTATTTTTAAAATTTTCTTTTAAATATTTATTTTTATCTATTGTATTCTATTAAATTTGAGCTATACTCTAACCATAGTGTAAAACTTTAATTTTGATGCAGCTTTAAAAACTTTGATTGATCGCTATAAATTTTGGTGTAGCTTTAACAACTTTGATAATTCGCTAGAAATTTTGGTGTTTTTTTTTATAGAAATTTTACCATATCGATTAAAAGTTTTGTTTTATGAAAGATCGTTTATAAGGTGCATATAAAAATTATACATTATATATATATATTTTTAAAAATTACAAATACAATTACAATCATATTTATAAATAATAAATATTTAAATAACTATTACCAAAATTAACTATTAAAAATATAATAAAACGAGTAACTAAAATATATCAGAATATAATTTATACATAATAAAATTCAAACTAAAAGTTCATTAATAATATTTAAACCTAATAAAACCAAAGAACAGAAGATTTGAGTTTTCTTCGTAACAGTTCATTTTTTTTTATTAATCTTGAGTAAATATAAGATATTATTTGTTTAAAAATAACTCTCAATCATTTGATATTGAACGTTCATACTCCTAGTATTTCTGGTGCTCAACCCCACAACCTCAAAAAATGACAACAATTCATTTACCATCGAGGTTGTTTGATTCGTGCAATTCATTTTTATTTATATATATATATATATTGATTTTTCCTTATCCAATTATCCTAAAAAGGTATAAAATTAAGTGTAAATAGATCATAACACTATATATATATATTTCAAAATAAAAATTATAAATGAAAGCGTCAATTAAGACCATGCATCCCTTTCGGCAAATATCTGCTTTCAAGTGTGGATGAAGCACAATATAGTCTGTGAACCCCTCACTCTCCCTTAAGCAAAGCGACAATGGCGACTTCCCTGCTTTCACTCTCCTTTTTCCTTATCTCTTTCCCCTTTCTCCCCATCCAAACAATACTTTCTTCTTCGACAGATGCCTTCGTCTTCGGGGGCTGCACCCAACAAAAATACACACCCGACTCACCCTACAAGTCCAACCTCAACTCGCTGCTCACTTCCCTGGTTAACTCAGCCACTTACTCTTCCTACAACAACTTCACCATCATGGGTTCCAGTCCCCAAGATGTCGTCTACGGCCTTTACCAGTGTCGCGGGGATCTTTCGATGCCGGATTGCGCCACCTGCGTCGCCCGCGCCGTGTCGCAAACCGGGTCCTTATGCCCCAGCGCGTGCGGTGGCGCGGTCCAGCTGCAAGGCTGCTACGTCAAGTACGACAACGCCACGTTCCTGGGAGTTGAAGATAAGAATGTGGTGACGAAGAAGTGTGGGCCGTCGGTGGAGTATGAGAAGGAGTCGGAGATTGTGGGGCGGAGAGATGCAATGATGGCGGTGTTGGAGGGCGGAGGAGGGTTGCTCAGAGTAGGTGGGTCGGGGGAAGTTCAGGGTTTGGCCCAATGCGTGGGGGATCTCAGCTTAGCTGAGTGCCAGGATTGTTTGTCGGCCGCCATCCAACGGCTGAAAGCAGAATGCGGCGCCGGTGCTTATGGTGATATGTATTTAGGCAAGTGTTATGCTACGTTCACCACTTCTGACTCTCGAGGTGATGATCACTATTATCCCAAATCCCATAATGGTAAAATCTCTCGTACACACCCTTTCTTCTTCTTCTTCTTTTTCTTTTGCCAATTCTAAGTTACTAGTCGGGACTAGACTTTTGACTGGCTAATCTGTATGGTCTTAAATCAATGTTGAATCTAGAAATAATGTTTAGAGTGAATACACATATGTCCAGAATTATTTTAGGGTAAATCTAATCAATAAAACTAACGATTAAGGGAAGGAAATTAAAATTTTAGGATAAACACTTGTTAAACCTCAATCATAAGTAAATCCGTTGGCATATTAAACACTTCTCGGTTGGTTCGAGCGCCTAAGTAAATTTTAAAACTCTAAACGAAGGCGTTTAGATCGATGCAAATGCGGGAAATTAAATCATGAAAACCCTAGTTTTAGAGTTTTAGAGTGTTCGCCCATGGTTTGTTTGAATGAGAAAAACTATGGAAAAATTATGTAAGGGCTAGAAATGATTTGGGGACCATTTGATAATTTTTGAAAAGTTGGGAGACCAATTCGGTAATTTTTGAAAAATAGTGGGTCGTTGTGTAATTGTTCTATAATTGATGTACTATATTGGAAATTGTTGTTTGGGAATTGAAATGAGTGCTAGAATTTGAAATTTGATCATTTTGAAAGTTTGGAAAGTTTGGTGATTTTAATGCAAATTTCGAATTGTTTAAATAAATATACACAAAAACAAGATAAAAGTTTGAATGAATGCTCTCACCTGTATTCACATAGTCCAGATTTAGTATTACTAAAAAAGATTGATGAATTTGGTGATTTTGTTTTGAAATAATGTAGATAAATCTAGGATGGACGGTGAGAAGACATTTGCAATTATCATTGGATTATTGGCTGGGATCGCTCTGCTCATAATTTTCCTTGCTTTCCTAAGAAAAGTGGTGGACCGAAATGGTAAATTACTTAAACTTTGTTAATTTTAACTCAAGTAGATTACATGCATCTTTTAATATTAATATATATTAGAGAACAGAGAAAATTCTATCTTTGATTCAGTAATATACTGACACGATTCTTTGGATTTGAATTGATTAATGCAGGTAAATAAGAGTCCAACTTTTCCCCAGAATTGATTTGCTTTTATTCTTTTTTTGCTTTACTTTTTCATTCATGATGTCCGACTTTTTTTTTTCTTCCAAAAAGAGAGCGTGCACAATGCAAAGTTATAAAGGAAAAAAGAGCTAAGATTCCACTTCACAAAGCTGGCTTTTTCTTGTATTGTCTTAATGTCAAGAAAGCATTGCTGTTGTTGATGTAAATGGTGTTTTTTTTGTGATTTTGTTTGTGCATGTATTCATCTTTTTCCTTACTTTGCCCTAAGTTTTCACTCATTTTATTGATAATAAAATTTAAGCCCCCAAGGGGGATTACAAAATTAGATAATTCTGCACCAAAGGCAATCGTTCTCAAAGAGCACAAGACATACTAACATGACAAAGGCATACAAACAAACACATCCGGTTGTGGATTCAAAAATATTTTTAAAGATGAAATGTTGAATTAAAATCTATAGTTACCACACAGTTATAATCTATAATGCTATCATAGAGTATGTCAGAAAACAAAACTTTTTTCAGTTCTCATGGTTACTTACCAAGAAAATCTGCAGCATTCTTGCCATTACAAACCTCCCGGTTGGTTTATTGGTAGGGAAATCGATTCCATTGTGAGTAAAATCTGCTCTGGCGATCGAAACCGGGAGGTAATCGTTGTTCCCGACGTTGACCAAGGAATCCCCGAAAACAAACACCGCCGGCACCATTTGAGCCGTCGTCGAAAGATTTAATCTCGAACGGAATACAGAAAAGAAGAACGATAACAAGTTCCTCGCCATAAAAGCTCTCCTATCATCCATTAGTTTTCAGTAGGATATTTTTATTATTTGAAAGGAGAAAGATACAAATGTTCATATGCATAGACAACTCAAGTAGGAAGAATATGGATAAATTCATTATGTCTCAGGCGATGGAGGATACGAGGGGCAAATGTTTCACGTTAATTGTTTTCAATGTACCAGAGAATCTCCTCTATCAAGGTCTGCGACTTATCTTTGACAACTATGGAGTGGTTGTCGACTCTTTCATCCCTAGAAAAAGAAGCAGAGGGGGAAGCAGGTTCGACTTTGTCCGGTTTGCATGGAATATGGATGATGCAATATGTAGTCAAGGGTAGGGTGGACGGTAAACTTCATCCGGTGACTCATATTGTCGGCTACAATATTGATGAGGAAAAGCAGCTGAGACTTAAAGATAGTCTTGTAGGATGGTGCAAGCACTTCATGAAGATTAAAGACCTTGCAAAAATGATGCATATGGATGGAATTCAAGGTCCTACAATAATGAGATTAAGTGGATTAATAGTTTTACTGATTTTTGAAGATGAAATGAGAAAGGATAAAGTTTTAAAGGATTATAAAAGCTCGTGGGAAAAGTGGTTTGCGAAGGTGAAAGTCTGGTCGGAGGAGGTCAAGTGTCAAAGCTGCCAGGCATGCATGGTTGTCTTGTAAAGGAATCCCAACGTTTGCATGGAGCCAAAAAATCATAAAATACGACACAAGATTTCATAGATATTAAAGTACCGTTGAATTAGAGTGTAGATCATACCTTAAGTTGTATTAATAATGTCGTAACCGGTTTTCGTCCGGGCACGAAATTTTTACTTGGTGGGAAAAATAACACGAATAAATAAATGATTTTATTTTAAAAAAATATTTTGGGAGTCGCTATTGACCTTTTGGGTCAAGTAGGTCAAATACCTAAAAACAATCTTTTAAAATAGTTTTGAATAAAACATAATTTAAAAGATAAATCTGATCTGCATATAACCAAAAAAAACTTTAAAAAATTCGAGGTCGATTACGTTTAGGGAAGGATTAGCACCCCTATAACGCCCAAAATTTGGTACTCATTAATTATATTTTGTCTCTATTATTATAAATTTAAAAATATATTTAATCTATAATTATGTCATTTCAAATTTACTAGTATAATTATAAGGAAATTTATTAATTTTTATATAAATAGGATATTTATTTATTTACAAATATCAGAAAAGAACTTCTAGGTGCTTTAAGATAGCTCTTTTCTTCGATATTAAAAAATAAATATAAATAAAATATTTCTTAAAAATAATATATTTTATAGGGTAAAAATATCAGAAAACAGACTTCTAGGTACTTTAAGACAGTCATTTTCTTTAATATTATTAGAATAGGATTATTATTATTATTTTATAAAAAATAATTCATATAAAGATTTTAATAAAAAGAAAAATAAATAATTATTTATTATATATATATTTGTAATAATAATACTAATAATAATAATATATTACAAATAAACATATAAAATTAAATCAACAACTAAAATAAATGAAATTAAAATTATATAAAAATGATTAATAATTTAAAACTAATGACTAAATTAGAATATATTAAAAATAAATATCTAATTCATAATTAATTATTTAAAATTTCGGTGGCTAAACATGCTATTCTACCCCTTTATTAATTTAGTGACTAGATTAAAATTATATCAAATTTGTATATCAAATTAAAAGAAATTAAAACATGTTATTCGGGGTTTAAAATATTAATTAATAAAGTTACGAGGACTAAATTGGTTATTTTAACTAAAATATATTTTATGTTAATGACTAAATTATAAATTAAATAAAATTAAGAGATCAAATTAAAAAGATCATAAATTTGATTCAGTGACTAAAATATAAAATTACAAAACTGATAGACTGCAGACGGGATTTAACTTTTAATTAATTACAGACAGACCCCTCCCCAAAACGGCGTCGTTCGGGGAGGGGTATTTAAGTCCCAAACCCCACGGCCTTAAGGCCATTTCTCTCTTTCACTTTCTCTCTCTAAATGAAAGAGTTATAAAACTCTCTCGCTTCTCTCTAAAACAGAGAGAAGCGGCACCGGCCGACAGCCTTTCGCCGCCACCGGCCACCGCATCCGGTGGCCGGAAAAAAAAAATTTACACCAAAATATAGATCGGACCGTCCTATTGACGGTTCCGATGACCGTTTCTCTTAAAAAACTCCCGATCAGAGCAAATCTACGAAAATACCTTCGAGTTTTCGTAGGCCTTTGGTGATGTTTGGAGGCTCGTGTGAACTCTGGCGACGGCGGGGCTTCGTTGGTAAGTATCCCTCGTATTTTCCTTGCTATTATGGTTGTTGAGTTGCTCTCTGTATCTTCTCTTCTCTTTTTTTTTTACTTTCTATTTTTCTCTTGGGTTGTTGTCGTGTTCTTTTGTTTGCAGGTGAACCGAGGCTTTATAGCCTCGTCGAGACGTTCATCGGACCGGGTAATGGAATGGCCCTTGGTGAGTCACCGAACTATGGTGGTGACTCACCATAGGGTAACAACGTGGATGGCTCAGTGGCGTTTCTAGAGGCTTCTTTGAGGGCGGCGGCAGCTGGAACGTCGACGTGGGGCGGTTGGAGACAGAGGCGGCGGCGCGTGGTCCCTAGGGTATCATAACCTTAGGGTTTGTATCTGGAGGTCCTTGGACCATTGGATCAAAATCTGATCCAACGGCTGAGAGATGAGCGGCGGCTGAAGCTGAGATTAAACCCTAAATGGGTTTTAGGGTTTTTGTTAGGTTTGGGCCAGTTGGGTCTTTTGTAACTGGACCGGTCCAGTCTTGATTGGGCCTGTAATAATATTTATTAATAATAAAATAATAATAATAATAATAATTATTATTATAATAATAATAATAATTATTATTATTATTATAATAATAATATAAATAATATTCAAATGAAAAAAATGAGTATCTTCAACTGTCCCTCTTTGCTTATTCTTGTGTTAACAAGAATAGAGCAAAGACGAAAAGATAATAAGTTTTCTTTTATTTGACTTCACTTGATTATGATGGAAATGTTGAACTAATTCTTCTTTGGGATTAGCTCTTCTCATTATGAACTTTTCCACTAGGGATGACAACTCATCTCCTTTTGTGATGTAATCTAGCAAAGGTTGAATAAGCTCTTCTCATTGTGAACTTCTTCTTCTTCAGATGAATTCTTCTCATTATGAACTCATTCTGGAAATACTGATGATAATATATCTCCTTCTGTGATAGAGTCATGCAAAAGGTCGAACAAGCTCTTCTCATTATGAACTTCTTCTTCCTTCTTCAGATGAGTTCTTCTCATTATGAACTTTCTCTAGAAAAGTTGATCCATCAAGTGATGAATTTAAGAAAAAAGTTGAACAAATTCTTCTCATTATGAATTTCTTCTTTCTTCTTCAGATGAGTTCTTCTCATTATGAACTCTAACTGGCACTGCTGATCCACCGAGTGATGAATTTAAGCAAAAAGTTGAACAAGTTATTCTCATTATGAACTTCTTCTTCCTTCTTCAGATGAGTTCTTCTCATTATGAACTTTCTCTGGAAAAGTTGATCCATCAAGTGGTGAATTTAAGAAAAAGGTTGAACAAATTCTTCTCATTATGAATTTCTTCTTTCTTCTTCAGATGAGTTCTTCTCATTATGAACTCTAACTGTCACTGCTGATCCACCGAGTGATGAATTTAAGCAAAAAGTTGAACAAGTTTTTCTCATTATGAACTTGTTCTTCCTTCTTCAGATGAGTTCTTCTCATTATGAACTCTACTGGAAATGTTGATCCATTGAATGATGGATTTGAATCTTTACTAAAATCTTTGAAATTCCTGTCAAAATTCAACATGGATAAAATGAATGAAAATGCACCTATTTTTGCAAATGCCTAAATATGATGCATGAATGTTAAGTTTGTCTTTATTTGATTTTAAATTGGTGAACTTAGTCTTTCTTCAGTTGTGTAGAAATCCAATAAATCTTTCTTCTTCGAATCGGAGAATCTATCATCTTTGAAGAGTGTAGATGTAGATATGCCTTATTTTTATATAATGTCATAAAACCCCTTGAGAACAAAACTCAATGGCACAGGCTCTTGAAAAGTTTGCACTCATGTAACATGTTGATTCTGATAACTACTCATCTAATTATGAAGTGATCTCTCAAGATGATTTCACAGATATTGATAGTTCTTCTGATACCGAGGAAATCTTGAATTCTGATTCTGATGAGGAGAGTAAACTGTTATACTTGACGAAAATGGGATACTCAAATGCTAAGTCTTCAATAGTCATAGAGACGTGGTCCTGATTCATCAATTGCAGAGTTGACAGATTTTATATGTGCTGCTCAAATGGCTAAGGCTGCTGACACACTTCTTCCGGTAAAAGATAGGAAGCCATTATGCAATGATCCCAATTACAAGAAAAGGCGAAACTTGGGTTAT